TCGTAAATTCATATTTTTTTCCTTTTTTATGTATATTCATAGACCCAGTATGTTCATAGGCTCAAGTTTGCTTTAATTTACTTTTCTTTGTAGTTTTGTATAGTCCTTTTTCTCTTTACCAATGTCTTCAGTTCTTTCCTCGAATTTGTGTCCGACTTGCATCCTCGTTTTCCTTCTCTACCCTGTCCTGAAATCCTGTTCGCAAAGTAAAATTTGAGCTCCTTTGCATCCTCGCTATAAGAACATTCTGGAAGCAAGCAGTATTTTAGCCTTTTTCCAACTCCGGATATCCCCGGCAAAAAACCAGGAGCACACTTCCTTAGTCCAACCATCATCTCCTTTCTCTCTTCCCACTCCCCAAAATGTGCCTGGCCAACTGATAAGGAATCCACACCATATAGCCATTAAATCCCAGCCTTCTCCCTTGCCTCGAACGAAACTCACTACATACCACTCTCTTCTCACCTATCGCGCTCCAAACCCCGCCAAAATTCGCCATACGGTAACCCCACCCACCATCGCCGAGAGTAAATTTTTGCAAGTCGTGTATGGGGCCGGCCGAGCCGAGTTATAGTAATTACCATGATTAGGAACATTGGTGTTTTCTCCTTGGCCTGCTCTTCTGTAATGACTGGAACAGTTTTTGAATCATAATCCATGACTGTCTTATTCTTTCGCCTTTACGCCGGTCCGGTCGCTCGAGTTAGTGAATCGACTGAGCGTACTATGACTCTTCCTTTTCTTGCGTAGGGTGGGTAACATGATTCTCTCTATCTTTTATCTGTCAGCTGTTCTTTTCCTGGCGGACATTCAGTTTATTATTAGCTTCTGAATTCCTTGCTCAATCTTCTAACCCTTTCTCACGTTCTGATATTCAGATACTGCTGGACAAGCAAGGGGGAAATAGCCAGTTCAGTGGATAGATCCACTGGAAGATTACTGTGGATTAGGAGAGGAAGAGGAGGATTAGAAAAAGACGGTAGAATCCAGGAATTGGTAATATTCTAAGTCGAGTCTCTATGCAATTTTCATCGCAAGCTGCGTACAAACGGCGCATTTAGATGTGGGCGAAGTGGGATTCAGCAATACATTCTCCATTCCGCCGTACAGAGAAAGTCAGCGTGGAAGCAGGAGGGAGAGAAAGGAATAGATGGTGAATGTTAAGTAAACTTACATGTAGAAAGTATTATTCCACCCTGGTCTTGCTAACCACTTCGGGCCGTGAAGTCACTTTATTAAAAGAATCAGTAGCATATGTTTTCATATTTATCAATAAATGAGCGCACGAAGAACACGCTGAATCGTTTGGAAGGGGTTAGGTGCTGTATTTTAAAGGAAGGATTCACTAAATTCTCGAATTTGTTGGTCTCTTGGGATAAATAAATTTGAAAGGAGGTCTGTAATTTCTTTTGCCAGATTTACAAAGTATCCTTCATAACTAATTAAGTCGTAAGCGCCCTTAACTTTTGTCCTGACGAGGAAATTTTTAGACAGAATCTCTCAGAAATTCTTATCTACGTCACAGTCGTGGGCGAGGAGATAATGCTTACTTAGAGTGTCGTAAAGAAATATTTTAGATTGCACGCGATTTGGAAGCAATTTACAAGGAGGGACGGCTCACGGACTTTACAATTGTTGCGGGTGATCGTGAGCTGCCAGCGCATCAAGTGATACTCTCCGCACGTTCGCCAGTGTTTGCAGCTATGTTGGAACCCCATACGGACGAAGCAAAAAATAGCCGTGTCGTCTTTCGAGATATTGATTTCGAGGTATTTCCTTCAAATTTTGATTTCGGATTACTCATATGCGTTTTATGCTGCAACAGTTAAACAGGCAAAACGCATTTTCTCGAGACCCCGTCTGTGTTTATGTATGTCAGTGTGCGTGTGTGTGTGTGCCTGTGTGTGTGTGCGTGTGTGTGTGTGTGTGTGTCAGTGTATGTGTGCCTGTGTGTGTTTGTGCGCGCGTATGTGTATTCTGAGTGCATTTTGTCTGGGAGTTTCAACTCTGGAACCGGGGAAGTTAGGAAGCTGAAATTTTAAGTGAGCACTCCTACCCAATTGTGATCTTGCAAACTCAAATCCAGCATTTGCACACCTCCAGGCTTCACGTACGTCACGTGAAAGTCTTGACGCCTAAATAACTCCGGAAGCACAGAAAGTAGAAAGCTGAAATTTTAGGCGGGTGTTGCTTGCGCTCATGTGACCCAGTAAAATTAAATTCAGCCTTCACTTACGTCTAGATCTAACGTACAGGAGAATGAAAGTTTTGGGCAAAAATTATTAACTTAGGAACAAGGAAAATTAGGAAGTTGAAATTTTAGGAGAATGTCTCTTGCCCGCATATAACCTACAAACTCAAATTCAGCTTTCCCGAATGCCTAGATTTCACGTATGGGCATAAGAAATTTTTGGGTGCAGGAATTAATATCATGGGGACCGTAAAAGCTAGGCAGCTGGAATTTCTGCATAATACTCCTACCCTCGTATAAATTCAGTACTTACGCACGCCTAAGTCTCAGGTACGGATACGCGGAAGTATTGACGCCGAAATAATTCGGGAAGCGCAAAAGCTAGGAGACTAAAATTTTAGGATTATGTTTCCTGCCAGCCTATAAATTTAGCTCCTGTGCAGGCTTAGGCCTGACGCCCGGGCACGTTGAAATTTTGGCACCAGAATTAATAACTTGAGGACCACGAAAGCTGGGAAGCTGGAATTTTAGGAGAGTATTCCTTGTCCGCGTCTGATCCAGAAAAGTCAAATTCAACGTTCAAATGCGCCTGGGTCTCGCATGCGGAAACGCAAAAGACTTGGAGTGAGAATTATTAATCGGGAACCAGAAAAGCCGGGGATATGAAATGTTAGGACGATACTCCCTACCTGCGTATGACCCCGTTAACTCAAGTTTGGCCCCCTCTCCCGCGCACGCCTAAAATCAACATAGGGACACCTGAAATTTTTGGCGCCAAAAATTAATAACTCGGAAGCCGAGAAAGCCAGGAAGCTGAAATTTCAGAATAATGTACCCGCATATAAATTCAGTCCCTGCGCGCGCCTAAGTCTTAGGTACGGATATGCAAAAATTTTAGCGTCAAAATGATTAACTGAGGAGCCACAAAGGCTAGAAGGCTGAAATTTTAGAGTAATATTCCTTGCTCAAATGTAATTTCATTCCAGCGTATGTCTAAGTTTTTTGTACGGACAATTAAAGGTTTTGGCGCCAAAATTAATAACCCCGGGACCACAAACAGTAATGTTTTGGTGCCAAAATTACCATGCAACGTATCAAACAGTAATGCAATGGGCACTTTTAACAGCAAGGCTCCCCAGAACAGAGTTGCACAAGCGTCAGCTGGACAGGGTTGGAGTTACGACCGAACAGAATTGCATAAGCGTTCGCTAGACAGGATTGCACAAAACGCATGATTGTATTAGTTACCTTGGTGCGCGTCGCTTTTTATTGATTTATGGTTTCGGGGCATTAATTTTGGGATACTTGCTTCGAATCGAATTCGAGGAATTCCTTTTCAGTTCGAATAATGCTCTTAGTGCACTTAATTTTTTTTTTTCTTTATTTTGATTGCCTCTGCTTATGATAGTTATTATTGCTTCTTTGTTTTAGAAAATCCCGGAGTTTGGGGAGGGGGGG